GGCTGAATATGAATTGATGTAGAGAGACAGTCAAGGTGAATGAAGTTAAAAAACGAGCATGTTGCGAAATAGTGTGTACTATTAATACATACTATTTAACACCATGTTAAATAAAAATATGTACAAGTCTATATGGATGACTGGAATAATATACACAAAGGCATTAATAGCAGTCATTCACCACTGTATAATGGAATTATAGTCTTACACTGTTGTTTTTTTTTCTTACAAGGAATAAGGAAAATTAATCCATAAGCGAAACAAAAAGTTAGTTTTAATTTTTTAAAAAGGCAGCATTAGGGTATCCTGAGGCCAGCGATAATGCAGGAAACTGAAGTCAGGAAGAAAGACTTGTTGCACCTGTGCCTGGAGAGAGAGGACCAAGCTTGTCTGTCCCCAGTCTGGCCTGCACCCATTGACTGTGGGTACAAGTGTGAGAGTCCAGTTTATGGAGCACGGACTATGTGCCTTCCTGAATGTTAGTGCAGGAAGGGACCTCAGATTATTTAACCCTCAAAGTCACAAGCTGGAAAACGGAGGTCCCCAAAAGGGGCCTTGCCCAGGTCACACGGGTCATTGGGTGACCTGAAGGAACTGCAGAGCTTCTTGGCTTAGAGGGAGGTGCGCCAAGGATAACCCCTCCCAGCCCTCCACCAGCTTTGGAATGGAGTCATCAGTGCGGTGAGGCCCACAGGTGAGCGGCTGGGAAGCAGTGCCCCAGAGCAAGCAGCTGGCACCATCCCAGCCTGCAGGGGTCATGAGGCAGATGAGGAGCGGCTCCTGACGCCCCCCCCCCTGCTGCCCCTCACCGTGCTTCTCGGAGTGTAAGCAGTCGAGGCTGTAGGCGCCCAGGAGGATGTTTGCTTGCCGCTGCAGGGACTTGCCAAAAGGGTGGCTGCCCTCGGACACCACATAGTAAAAGACGCAGCCCGCAGAGAAGATGTCCACTGTGCAGGTCTGAAAAGAAAGGCGGGGTGTGAGAGGCCTTCCGGATGATCCTCCTCACTCAGCAGTGGACAGGACTGTCACTGCTACGTCCTCCACGTGGCAGGTGTTCTGGGAGAACTGGCTGACTTGTGGGACCTGCTCAGAGCTGTGCTGGGCACCCTGCAGGTGCCGCACGTGTGACCGTGGACCCTGGAGCCGACTGCCTGGAATGCTGGCTCTGCCGGCGGCCAGCTGGAAGCCTTTGCCTGCCCTGTGCCTCGGTGTCCTCCAACGTAACAGGGAACGACGGTGTGCTCCTCGTGGGGTTGTTGTGAAGACTAAGTGAACTAATATGTGAAAGCAGTTACCTAACTAGTGCTTGGCCCATAGGAAACTCTCTCCTACCCATTAGTTTTTCTACCCAGCCAGCAGGTAACTCCTCAGAGGTAGGAATTTCTGAGTTTGCTTCCCAGTTGTACCCCCGGGGTCTAGGATGATACCAGAATACGATGGGTCTTAAAACTTTGTTAATAAATGAATAAAATAATTTTTAATTCAAAACAGCCTCACGAAAAATTACATGACAAGTTTCCAGGGAGGTCATTTTTCACGTTATCTTACATCTCTCACTTATCCCATGAAACCATTCCTTGTCTACAGATGGGCTTCTCTTCAGGGAAATGGGTGATTTCTGGCCTGTGCTACTTAGGATGTAACACTGGGTGGCTCCCGAGCATGGCCGGGTCCCTATCGCTAGGCTCTACCACTCACATTCTCCACGAGGCACTTATCACCTTCCACGCTGGAGAAAACACGTCTGTAACAGCATTGAACTATTGTTCACCCTCAGAACAGCCCCACAGGTGAGCAGAGCAAAGGTCACCATCCCCAGATGAAGACGTGGACAGAAAGGTTGAATGACAAGCCCAGGATCACTGCTTCATAGTGACAAGAAGGACAAGACCCAGGTCTCGAATCTCCAAGCCCGATCATCTTCATTCTACCTCATCAGAATTCTCCTTAGGTGGGTGGGTGACAAATTCAGAGCAGGAAGAAGTCTATCACAGCTGAAGCTCTTACCTGTCACTTCACCTACTTGCTATATCATTAACGCTCCCTGTTTTCCACGGTGCTGGATGTCCCCAGCATACTTTACACTGTGGCTGGGGGGCTCCTGTCCTGCCCTGCATGCTTGGGTCCCTTTGCTCCCGCCAGCTCACCTCTATGCTCAGTTACAGTCTTTCCCAAAACTATCATTGCCACTCGTTCTTGCAATTTAAATATTTCATAAGCTGATAAAATACGAGCGCCACCAAGCTGAATCTTTGGAAAGACGCACTATAAAGGAGTGGCTACAAAAACTGCTATAGAATTAGATGTGAGAGACTCAGCTGTAAAGGACTGAGACATGAATAGTTAGAAGCTGGGCTTCTGCTCTTAGGAAGTGTTTGAAATGTCTATGTCTCAATCTAAAAGGCACAGAAGTGGCAGGTGAGTGCACTTTATGCGAGAGAGGAAATGAACAACTCCATTTAGTTGGACCCAAATTTGAAGACCATGGCCTACATGAAGGATTTCTATTACTTAACAAATCATAGGACTTGCATTAAGTTAAAATGAAATGTTCTAGGTGCGTCTGCATATTCTTATGACTCTTCATCATAACTGACTTTTTTGATTAACTGACCAGCTGCTGGTCCCCAGTGACCGCATAAGAGGGCTCTAATGCATCCAATCTATTTTAGGCTGGCTGATCCCATCTGGGTCCGGGCAGGAAAGTGGGAAATAATCCTCTGACTTCTTGTGCTAGAAAGCAAGGTGCTGAAATACGAATGGGATCTTAGCAAAAGGATGCAGAAGCCAGACTGATGGATTCCTGTTGGCCCAATCTGGAATACTTTGAGTTAACAAAAGGAGAAACAAAAGGGAAAAAAAAAGAAAAAAAGGAAATAGAGAGAAAGGGGATAAAAGCTAAGCAATTCTTTACAGAAAAATGTCAGCTAAAGATATGGAAGAATTTCCACTGAATTAAGTGATTAAGGCAAGGACTGTGAATGGGTGCCGAAGCATCGGGTGAAGGACTATTGTTCAACAGGATATTCACACTGTGCCAAAGCATCACCCCACGGAGTACTAACAACAAAAGGGGAAATGCACTTTTATAGTGGAGAGATAAATAGTGACCACCTGCACCAGGTGAGCCAAGTTGGCATCACTAGCAGGGGTACAATAATAACAGCACGACCTGCCATCTCATGCCTCCTGATACTGTGTCCTGTGACTGTTCTTGCCAAAAACATTTAACTTGAATCTAATCAGCCTTTAGACCTACTTCTCGTTCACAGGAATAAAAGGAATAGACAGCCAAGTTAAACTCCATCAAGAGGAAACGAGGCATTCTATAGACAAGCGCCTGCACTGTTCAAAAAGTCACTATCATGGAACAAAAAAAGGTGGGAGGACTGTAATAGATTAAAGGAGAGAGAATCAAATGCAATGCAAGTCCTGGTTTACAAAAACCAGCTCTATAAGAGACATCTGGGGAACTCTGAATACGGATTGAAACAGTGTTAATTGTTGAGGTGTGATATGGTATGGAGGATTAGGAAGCTGACTGTACTTTTTGGGGGATATACATACTTAGATGTTTAAGGATGAAAGGCCCGCCTCTTATATTCAAATGGTTCAGCAACAGAGAGAAAGTGAAAAATATTACCAAATGTTGAATTTATGTGGAGGTACAGAGGTACTCACTGAAAATCTCAATTTTATCCAAGTCTAAAAATTCTCAAAATAAAATGTTGGGAACACAAAAACAGAAAAAACACAAAACATAACTAGAAGTTTGCTCATGTTATACAAGTTCTGAGTTCCCAAAATAGCAAGGGGAAAGTAATTGGAAGAACAGAAAAAAAGATAGACAATTGCCCATGTTCACTCCTTTTGTTCATCTGAACGTCAGACAATACAGAAAGTGCCAACAGTGTGCTCTTTGTTAAAGAAAAGTCATTCTCCAGCTACATGTGCTCCAACCCCAAGTTGGAGGCTCTTACTCCTAAAGATACAAGAGGCTGGTTCTGTAGTTTTCAAAAACTATGCTCATTACTCACGGGGTTCTCCTTACAGTCTTCACTCAGCATCTCTGGAGCAATCCAGCCTTCTGTGCCGGGCACCCCTGAACGGCGGCTGAAGCTGTGCCTACCCACTGCCAGCTTCTTGCAGAGGCCAAAGTCAGAGATCATGGCCTTGATCCTGCCATGTGCGTTGGGCATGGAGAGGAGGATGTTGTGGGGTTTTAGGTCTCTGTGAACTAACAGAAAACTCCAGATTAGTCCAATATTAACCATGTGCAATCTAAGGCCTTCTGTGATGGGGAGAGCACCCTTCTCGGATTGCCACCTCTAAAAGTTCTGGTTTTTGACTGTGTGAGAGTCTTCCTCAAATTCTTACACAATTTGCACACCAGTGAGGCAGCAAAGAGCTTCAACAGAGGCAAGGCCCACCCGAGCAAGTCGGCCACCCCACCCAAGCAAGTCAGCCACCCCACCCAGGCTGCAGGCTGGTAAAGGGAAGCTTCTCACCAATGTTGAGAGAGTGCAGGTGGGCCAGGCCCGAGGTGGTCTGCTGGAGCAAGGTGATGGGCTCCAGGCCAAGGTGGGCAAAGTCCTTCTGCTCCACGTACTGTAAGAGACGCATGGCTAGGTCATGACGGACAGCCCTCAGGACTCGGCCACTCAGGCACTTGCTCTTTTTTCAAGTAACTCAATTTTATTTAGAAAAATCCTGCCTGCAGCTTTTTGCCTGAATTAACATTTGGTATCGGGCGGGCTCATTTTCTTTGATCATATTTTAAGAAAGAAATGGGAAGTTTTACTGACAATGTTCTCTGTCCAAATCCTTATTTCCCAGCACTTTCTCCTGCAGTCACAGGCCAACTTCAACAAACAAAGCTCTGACTTACAAGGAGAAAGAGGGCAAGAAATTCAAGTGCATTGCCTTAGACAGGTAAACCTACAAGTGACGCCAAATGAGACTGAAATAGTTTCACAGTGAGCTGGAAACGGAGTGAAAGGAGTTCGCTGACGACCTTAATGACTTGCGTCATCAAGAAGCACCCTCCAAATCCACAACCACCTGACCAGCCATGAGAGTGGCCAGGTTTCAGGATGCCAAGAGGGAGCGAAGTGCTAATCACAACCAAAGACGGCCCCAGGAGGGCTGAGGGGACCATCTAGTAAAAGTTGGGGTGATAAAAATGCTCTACATTTTGACTGTGGTTAAATGGGTAGATAACTTTGTTAAAATACATCAAACTACACATTTAAATGAGTCTATTCTAACTTCAATAAAGCTAATAAAAAAAAAATACATCGGCAGTCCCTACAACCACGCCCCAGCTGCTGGGAGAAGGGAGGCTGCAGTGGTGATGGCA